CTCATAGGCACACATACACCTGTATCTTACCTAAGAGCACCAATAAGGCCTCAGCAATAATGAAGATGTTCTCTTGGTTCCCTTGAATAAGCCTCTTGTTTTGAACACTTGAAATACACCTACCATGTTTCATTTAATTCACATTATGTAGCTACATGTGGCTAAAACCTGCCATACTGGACAGAATAATTCACTACTCTACAGACACAGCACACAGTCTAGACAACAGAGTCACATATGCAGTTCGTAGTGGACCTCAGCAAAATTCCAAGTTACCTGACACCGTCTAGAGCATTTCAAGTGTTGGAAATAGTGGTTTGTGATGGAAGCCAAATGTTTGATCCTCAAAACCAGGTCCCAAGAGAACAAATTTAGTCTGTCAGGCAACATGGAGCCACTATCAACGTCTACACCAGAAACTGACTAATGGCAGCGTTATATGAAATTGATGGACATACAGGTTTGACAACCTGTATGAAAGGGGGAAGGTTGGAAGGAAAACCATGCACCAATATCTATTTGCTGCATTGGTCTCAACCTCCACAGGGTAGATGTTTGATAAATCAAACTGCAGATTTCAAATGGAGCTTCCCCAGAGGTAACATTGATTGACTTCTCATAGAAAAAGAAACTGAGCTGTAAATTTTGAAGCCCAGAGAAGATCTGGGAGCAAAATTTGTAACCAGAAAAAAAAAACCCAGAAAAAAGAAAATTGCAAAAATGTAATTATGCAAAAACATAATATAAGAAACATTTAATTGTTAGATTTAGTACATATAAAAACTCCCTTTAATTTGGATTTTCAAATTAGATTTTCCCACTTCGTAAAAATTTCCAAGATTAGATGATAGTTGTCGAGAAAACATATTCAACTTTAAGAACTTGCTTGCTGTGTGTATCTGTGTGTTTGTGTGTGTATGTGTATCTCTGGGTGTGGCCATAGTTCCTTTTCATTGCCCAGTAGTTTTAAACTTATTTTTCAAATTAGTATGCAAAATATTGCTTCATTATGGCATTCTCAACAAAATCTATTTTCTTGATTTTTCTATTTCCCTTTTCTTCCCCTAAGGACTTAGTCTTTTGTTTGTTGGTTTGTTTTTGTTTTTTGATACAGGGTTTCTCTGTGCAGCCCTGGCTGTCCTGGAACTAGTTCTGTAGAACAGGCTGGCCACAAACTCACAGAGTGCTGCCTGCCTCTGCCTCCCAAGTGCTGAGATTAAAGGTGTGTGCCTGGCAATTTATTTTATTTTTATTTATTTGAGACAAGGTTTCTCTGTGTAACAGCCCTGGCAGTCCTAGACCTAACTGTAGACCAGGCTGGCCTTGAACTCCTGGAGATCCACCTGCCTCTGCCACCTGAGTGCTGGGATAAAAGGCGTGTGCCACCTCTGCCCAGCTCAAGCCTCCTCCTCCTCCTCCTCCTCCTTTTTTTTTTTTTTTTTTTTTTTTTGGTTTTTTGAGGCAGGGTTTCTCTTTGTAGCTTTGGTGCCTGTCCTGGATCTCGCTATGTAGACCAGGCTGGCCTAAACTCACAGAGATACACCTGGCTCTGCCTTCCAAGTGCTGGGATTAAAAGTATGTACCACCACCGCCCAGCTACAGGACTCCTTCTTTTTTTTTCCCTAATACTTTTTTTCTTTAACATAAAAACAGGTTATAATTCAAAAGTCCAGGGTTATTTGAAACTGGAAAATATTTTCTCTGTAGAAAATAGTAAAAATGATAACATTTCCCAATAAGCCCCTTTAAGCCAAATAATAGCTGAATTATAGATATAAATATTGATTAGATTCTGGGATACAGAAGAAACCTTTCTTCATCTGTTCAGAGAGCTATGTTTTACTTAAGTTGTGTAAGTGAGATTCCTATTCATCTTCCCCTTCACTGTTTGATTTACGGCAGACATTTTTCTATAGCTAATCCATAATCTAAAAAGATTTTAGCCTCCCCTCCTGAAAGTACAGCCAGCATATACTTTCATCAGCTTGATACGGTACAAATTCTCATCCTAATAGTGGAATGTTTCACTAAAGCTTGCCCAGTGATGATTGGTCAAAACCAAAACTTATTATAAGCCACAGTCATCCTAGGGTCCCCCTGCTAGGTAGCCTCACTGGATCTGTGGGTTGTCTGATTGTCCTTTGCTTTATATCTAGTATTTATCCACTTATTTATCCACTTTATGAGTGAGTACATACCACATTTGTCCTTCTGAGTCTGGGTTACCGCACTCAGGATGATGTTTTCTAGTTCCATCCATTTGTCTGCAAACCTCATGATGGCAGGACTCATTCTTAATCAACAAGAAAATGGCTGTAAATGGCAGACAAGGAGGCCAGATATGGAGGGAGATGCAATAACTCCTGGCACGGGAGCAGAATGGTTGTGGCAAGAATATGAAAATAAGCTCATTGCTGGGCATGGTAGCCCACTCCTTTAATCAGATGGACCTCTGTGAGTTTGAGGCCAGCCTGGTCTACAGAGGGAGATCCAGGACAGCCAGGGCTACACAAAGAAACCCTGTTTCAAAAACCAAACGAAAACAAAATACAAAAACAAAAACAAAAAAGAAAATAAATTTAATTTTATTTACTGAAATCAGCCTTCAAGTAGAAACAGTATTTAGTATAGCCTTTACACATTTCTAGAAAAGAGCACATACCAAATGCTGAATTTCCTCAGTATAAGTTAAGATGAAATAAATGGAATTTTCTTTCTTCTTTGTGGAGGTGGTTTTGAGACAGGGTTTCATGTAGCTCAGGTGTGGTAGTTTGTATTTCTCTCTTTCTCTCCTTTTTCTTTTCCTTTTTCTTTACTGATGTTTTGAGACAGGGTTTCTCTGTGTATCCCTGGCTGTCCTGGAACCAGCTCTGTAGACCAGGCTGGCTTCCACCTGAAAGATCCTCCTACCTCTGCACCTCAAGTGCTGGGATTAAAGCCATACACTTCCACACCTGGTTTATGGTGGTTTGTATTTCTTTTCTTTTTTCTTGGTTTTTCTAGACAGGCTTCCTCTGTGTAGCTCTGGCTGTCCTGGAACTCACTCTGTAGACCATATTGACCTTGAACTCAGACATTCACCTGCCTCTGCCTCCCAAGTGCTGGGATTAAAGGCATGCACCACCATCCAACAGTATTTCTTATGATTTAGTGAATAACTTACATAACTTAAACCAGGAATTCAGAATCTTTCTCAATGAGACACACTGACTATATGATGTTTCTTTGGGGGGAGAAAAAAACCCCATGGGATCACATGTATTCCTTAATGTTTAGAGCAGTTTTACCTTGTGCATGTACTGGGGATTAGGCATAATTCCCGAGAGACACCCACACATTGTTTTTCTCTTTGGGAGGTGATGCTGTGCAAATATGATGGAGGTGAAGAGTTCTTTGAACTTCCACTTGTAATTTACCTGGAGCTCAACACAACGATAAGGAGTCTGTTCCATGAGACACGCAGGGTGAAGACATGAAAAGGTTTGCTCTCTGCCTTTGTTCTGGATTCTCACTAGCTGTAACACGATAAGCATGCACTGTCCTGTCCTATGCAGGCAGCAGGTATTCTGGGACAGAAGCTCAGGGTGATCAGCAAGAAACCTTATCCTTAAGGTTTGAGGCTCAAAGTCCTTTACTGCAGTTGCTGTCCGGCTGCAGTTATCCCGACATTCTGTTGCTCATAACTTGGCATATGAACTTAGTCATTCCCAAAGCCCTGAAATTGCTCACAGACAACATGCAGGTAAGTTTCTGATCACCTCTGAAGTATTTGATAGCTATTAAAATAGGTTGTTCAGCATGTAAATCATTAGCACTGAGAAAAATGGCAGGTAGCGCAGTTTGTAACTGCCAGTTTTGTTTTGTTTTTCCTATTCAATTGGCACGGCGAAGGCAAAGGAGGGAGGGGTCAGAATTCCTCAGTGGTTCCAAGTGAACTTTAGACAGTGACAGACTCGAGTTCGAACTCTGAGCCTATCTCAATCTCTTACCCACAGCATGCTCTTGGGCAGATTATCAAACCTCTCAGGTCTGGTAAAATTTGGGAGTTAGTCTGTCTGAAAGGGGTTTCACTGGGGCTAAATGCCGTAAGTATAAAGTGCCCAGCATAGTGGCTGGCACACAGCAACTGCTCAGTATGAGGTAGCTCATTGTAACAGGAAGGTCCTAACAGACAGTTTGAATCCTTGAAAGTTCCCTAGCTCTGTTACAATTCTGCATGCTCCCTTCTGGATGGACACTCCACTTCCCTCCCTCTGCGTGAGGTGGAGTAAGCTTGGCACAGGTCCACCTCGGGTTCTGAAGAGAATGCGCTCTGAAGATAATAGGAATCTACCCACATCGATAAGCATGTCAGATGAGTTATGAGAGTCAGTCAAAACAGATTCTAGTTCAGTATTAGAGTAAATTGAAAGTTATTCTAAACTGTAAATGTCTGATAAATAGCCAGGGTGTGAGTAGCCAGGACATCCAAAGCGACCACTTCATGGAAAACTATTCTTGACTTTTGTAATTAGAGAGGAAATCGATCTAAGTGCTTCCATTAGAGAAAGAACTATATGTATGTTCCCTGTAGGTTTTAATCACAATGGTATCACTTTATATGTATTATCAGTATATATCTATGCCTGATGCTTCTTTGTATCTTTGTATCTCCAGTGTCTCACATAGTATCTAGTATATACATATATACATATATACATATATATGTAAAATGTACATATATGTGTGTATATATATATGTATGTATGTATAAACTGAACTTCCACTCAAACAAGGAAGTAAACAGCTAACATTGTGCTCCGTAGCCACTTTCTGGAAAACACTGGAGAAGAGAGACACATATGGCTTGTGACCTGTGAGACTGCAATCTAGAAGAGAGGTTATAATAATAAACGCTTATATAGAATGTGCTGCTGAGTACTGTGAGAAGCCCCTGCAGGGTTGGTGGGTGGAATAAACAGGGATGGAAATGAAGGCGCCTAACTCTTTGTCTTACTTAGGTGACATTCTGCAGACTTCGGACTCACCAGTGGTGTTTCATTCTGTTTAATGTCATACTGTTTCATGCCTTGCTCTTTGGAGCTGACTTTGTGGAAGAATACTTTTTACGGTCTTTGCCTCATGTCGATATCAAAATTCTTGAAATTAAGAACAAGGCAAGAAAACTGAACATGGAATCTGTAAAAAGCAATCTTTCCAAGTATTATGTTCTGAGCCAGCCGGAGGCATGTAATGGGAAAACCATCTTTCTGCTCTCTCTTATCTTCAGTAGCCCAGAGAATGGAACAAGACGGGAGCTCATCAGGAAAACCTGGGGTAGTGTGACCAGTGTCCAAGGATATCCGATTCTCACACTGTTTGCTCTGGGAATGCCAGCTCTGTTAACTACCCAGGAAGAAATAGACATAGAGTCTCAGAAGAATAACGATATCATTGAAGGGATCTTCTTGGACAGTTCTGAAAACCAAACCCTGAAGGTCATCTCAATGACTCAGTGGGCTGTGGCCTTCTGTCCTAATGCCCTGTTCATCCTCAAAGTTGATGAAGAAATGTTTGTCAATCTACCAGGCTTGGTAGACTATCTCCTCAGTCTAAAAGAACACTTGGAAGGTATCTATGTAGGAAGGGTTATTCACCAGGATATACCTAACAGAGACCCCCACAGCCAAGAATTTGTCCCTCTTAGTGAGTACCCAGAAAAATATTACCCAGACTACTGCAGTGGTGAGGCCTTTATAATGTCCCAAGATGTGGCTCAGATGGTGTACGTGGTATCGAATGAGGCATCTATAATGGTACCTGCTGATGTATTTGTAGGGATCTGTGCTAAGCTGGTTGGCCTTATACCCATCCACAGCTCAAGGTTTTCTGGGGAAAGACACATTGTGTATAACAGATGTTGCTACAAGTTCATCTTTACATCTTCAGAAGCTACGGATGCTGAAACATCCCTGGCATGGAGAGAAATGAATGATGGGAAAAAGTGTTCACTGTTTGAGACTTACTATGGGCTCATTTCCTGTAAACTTCTGACATACCTCAACAGCTTTAGACGTTTTCGTGTGGGGACTGTGCAAGGCAGTGCTGTGCACTTTGGTGAATAGTAGTCACTTGCTTTCCTTTTAAGTCTTTTGTTTTTAAATTGCTGTTGGCCCATTATAGAAAGCAACTCTATGTCCCCAAGTCATGTAGCAATCTGAATCTTTATTCATACCTAGCAAAACCACAAAATGTTCTTAGTGCTCTGATGTACCCAATCTTGACACCTTGTTTTTGACGTTTTAAGACATTTAGATTAGTATGGTGTGATTCTTTTCAAAATAAAATCTTTCAGAAAAGAGAGAACATTAGCCAGGTGGTGGTGGCACATGACTTTAATCCCAGCATGAGGAGGCAGAGGCAGGAGGACCTCCATGAGTTTGAGGTCAGCCTGGTCAACAGAGTGAGTTCCAGGACAGGTTCCAAAGCTACACAGAGAAACTCTGTCTTGAGAAAAAAAAGGGAGAGAATATTAAATTTCATTATAACATATATTGTGTAATAGAGTGTTACATATTTCAATTTTTTTACATTTGTTTATTTTGTGTGTGTGTGTGCATGCACATGTGTATATGTGTGTGTATCACAGGGCATTTATTTTGTGTGTGTGTGTGCATGCACATGTGTATATATATGTGTGTGTATCACAGGGCATTTATTTTGTGTGTGTGCATGCACATGTGTATGTATATGTGTGTGTGTATCACAGGGCATTATATGGAGGTCAAAGAGCAAGAGGCGTTAGTTCTCTCCTTCCAACCTGTGCGTTCTAGGAACAGAACTCAAATCACTAGACTTGGCAGTAATTACCCTTACCCACTCGACCCATCTCACTGGCCCTTACAAGTAATAACTAGGTATACATTCTGGAATGCCTAAATCCATTTATTTAACATAGGTTTCCTTACATACTTTTTGTGGTTAAAAACTTAAAAATGTATGTTCCCAGCAGTTTATATGTATATATATTTCTATCCATCCATCCATCCACCCATCCACCCATCCACCCACCCGCCCACCCACCCACCCACCCATCCATCCATCTACCTACATTAACTATCATTATTGTGAAGTATAACAGATTTCTTGAACTTATTCCTATCACACTGATATTGTTTGGTCCTTTGACTAACAACCCTCTGAATCTAGAAACCATCATTATGCCAAGTTTGGCATCTTTACACTGCATATGTGGATGAAAACGTGGCTATTTGCTCTTGGGCTTGGCCTGTTTCACTCACATGGTGTCCTCTTCCTTCTCCATGTTTGTGTAAACGATAGTCTTTGTTTTTTTTTTTTTTTTTTTAAGAAAACATAATTCTTGGGTTGGAGAGATGGCTCAGCAGTTAAGAGCACTGACTGCTCTTCCAGAGGTACTGAGTTCAATTCCCAGCACCTACATGGTGGCTCACAACCATCTGTAATGAGATCTGGTGCCCTCTTCTGGTCATACATGCTGTATACAAAATAAATAAAAAAAGAAAAGAAAAGAAAACATAATTCTTTATTGAGTGTTTGGGAATTTCACATCATGTACCCAATCCTGCTCACCTCCCAGTCCCTCACATTCTCTCCTCACCCCTGCAGCATTCCCCCAAAAGAACCCCCTCAAAAGTCAACTAAAAAACAAAACAAAAACCACCTGGCTCCTCCGTCTTTCCAACACCTCTTCCTTCCTCCTAGTGTCTCTGGGTGCTCTGGTGTGTCACACAGACACCTTTTGTCCAGTCAGCTCCACTCACAGAACGTTCATTGCAAGGAGCCATTGGTCCGGCTCAAGGGTCCTTGGCCCATCATCATCACTGGATCCTCACCGAAATGCCTCTCAGACATTGCCCCAAGTCATTGGAGATCCTGTGGTTATCGCGGGCCCAGTCCCTTCACACACTCCAGCAGGTCATCGATGGGTGGATGTTAGGGTGGGCCAAGCCAAGGCCCAGGATGTGGGTCTGGGTGGTAGCTAAGCTGGTTGGTCTGGGCCACTGGGACCTCCCCCCTCAGGTGAGGGGCAGAGCCGGCTCTCTCTCCCATGCCTGTGGTGAGGGGCGGGGCTCCTCTCTCCCATGCCTGTGGTGAGGGGCGGGG